GGAAACTTGGTCTAGTTCCCTGGACTGCTGTTTTTTCAAATGCTAATATAGTACCACCTCTCATAAAAGACTGACACAAGCAGCAGGATCTTGAGAGCTAAGCTCAGAGCTCCATGTGAAACTTGCCCTGCTACTGATTCCAAATGGGCCTTGATTAGGTTGCTTCACTTCTCTAGGCCTCACTTTTCCCCATCTGTGAAATGGGGGAATAATATCTAGTATCTACATCACATGGCTTTGAAGAAGATCAAGCAGTTGATAGAGTGCCTGGGAATAAAGCACTATATACCCACTAATTAGTTTTATGCAGTGATAGCTAGCAAAAGCAAGGAAACGCTCAGTGCCACCAACTAACATGGCTCCTGAGACATGAACAGTTAGAAAACCCTTGAGCAATCCAAAGTATGTGGCTTATTACATTAAATTGTGAAACTGTATATGACAAATGGCTACATAGTAATATAAGCTCTCACATTGCACATATACTATTCCACCCTCCAGTAATTTCTTGATTGCCTTTTCTAGTCTAATTATAAATATCCACTTGATAGAGCTCCTACCACTTTCCTCGAGCATCTGCTTCATATTCTGATGCATTCTAGAATTAGAAAACACTTCCTGAGATGAGTTAAATTTTCCTTCATGCAGTTGCATCCCCTCACTCCTAGACCAAGCCTCTTGGGCCATATTATAGATTTCTTCGCAGCTTGCTGGTATTTGAGAAAGTTATCATGCCTGCTTTTAGTCAAAGTGACACTTTTGAACAGCTAGCATGGCTCTGTAATTAGACTAAGATTATATTTCTTATTTCTTTAAACCTTTGCAGTCTTTGATCATTTCAATACAGAATATATGCTATTTCAAAACATATTTCTTGTGAAATGGCAAAGGCTTTGCTTTGAAGAACTATGCTGCTGTCTCTTCTAGTGTCTGAAAGATCAGTAACAAACTTTAAAGGTAAAAAGTATATAAAATGCCGATTCTGGCAATGGCTTTAATTTTTTTTCATGACAGATGGAGCATATGGCAGGGAATCTGAGCATTTTGCAGGGTCTGTCATTATTTGGAATTTCATTTGACTTTAATATTTGTCAAATGAAATTTCTTTTCATTAAGAGATGTTAACAGCTATGCCAGCTGTGCTAGAAAAAAGGTGCAAGTGACATCTGCAAGTATACCTCATACAATTTTCAATCCCAATGAATAGTATTTATGGCTAAAAAGGATCAGATGCAGTCAATCAAATGCTAAACTGTATTATTAGTCCTAAAGGTAGTGGAATTACAATGATATTGCCTGATGCAACAGAACTGTACAGGTTTTCTCATCTGTCTTTGAAAAGAGAAGTATATTTGTGGGGAGCAAAAATTACCCAGCACTGGGTAATTAACCACAAATGAAAAATTAACCATAACTGAATGTATAGGAAATGGTATCACCTTCAGAACTGCTAGATTCAAGCATTCAAAAACCATGGGTCAGGCCACAAAGATTTATTTTTAAAATAGTTTGCTTTCCTTATTTTTGAACCTTTTGAGAGTAACCAGCTCATGTTTTTAAGCTTGTCTCCTTAACCAAGGGGACTATATATATATATATATATATGTTTGTTTGTGTTAATGTAACACACATACATACATATATACACACACATACATACATACACACACACACACACACACACACGAATGTACACACATTCATTCATACATGTATACAAGTGTGTATATATACATGTGTACATATACATTCTTACATATATATGTACTGTACACACACATACATCCATATATAAATGAATATATGTGTACATAGTTATATATGTGAGTGTGTGTGTGTGTATATATATATGAATGTGTGCGTGCTACATTCATACAACTAAACATATATAGTTCTAGTCCATATGGTTAAGAAGAAAAGTTTAAAATATAAGCTGGCTAAACTCTTTGAAATATCCTCAAATTTCCTTAGAATATCTTTTGAGGAAAGTACTGTTACAGATATGAAAAGGGCGCCAGACTTCCTGTAAGCAATTTACATTCATAAAAACTAACAGGATGAACATAAGAAAAGGTGAATGCTGACTGAACATTGAGAAAGTTACTTTGAAGGTGAGATTAGTAGACTGGGAAAGTCTCACAAGGACATCGGTAGAAGTTTTATATTATATCTATATTAGTGAATTGCCCATCAAGAATGATTGGGGGGGGGGCTGAGGGGGGGAAGCTTGCTAATCCTAACCCTAACCCCTTCCCCTCCACCTCCCCGTGCCCCCGCTGCCTCCCAGGAGCCAGGGGTTAGGGGGAAGCTTGCCCTGCTGTCCCATCCGTCCCCCTCTGCCAGCATCTCATGCTACCACCTCCTCCAAGGAGCAGGGCCAGGGGCGGGGAGGGAGGAGAGGCGAGACCAGCGGTACTGGCCTGGCCCCCCTGCTCTGTCCCCTCTGTCCCCACCGTCATGGCAGTGCTCCACCTTACCACCACCAACTCCTGTCCGTAATGCATTTGGAGCACTCTGATTGGTTGTTTCAGTAACCAATCAAAGTGCTCCAAGAGTGTTATGGACAGACAGACAGAAGGACTAAGCCCTTTATTATATTACAATACAAACAAACAAAAAACATATATATATATATATATATATATATAACTTCTACCAATGTCTTTGTGAGACTTTCCCAGTCCAGTACATAGGCTGAGATTCTTACAAAATCACAAGATTCTAGACGCTGAAGTTTGAAGGAAAGCACCAAATGTTCTAGGAAATGCAGGGATGCCTTGCGTTCAGGATTACCTACCTGGTGTCGATCCAGTGCAATAGCTGCAAGGGTAAGCACAGACACGTGGACAGAGCAGTATTGAACAAATCGGCTTATATGGCACATCAGCTTTCCAAACACCCAGGTACTGCTCACAAAACGCACCTAGAGGATAGACAGCATTTAACCTCTTAGGGAATGTCAAGTGTGGATTACAATAATGTGCATCAGAGAGGGCAAGAAGGAGAGGAAAGAAATAGTTCAACAGGCAAATCAATCTCATACAGTTGGGTTTGAAAACCAAAATAACCTTTGAGGAAAGTACTGTTATGGACATGAAAAAGGCACCAAACTTTCCATAAGGAATTTACATACCTAAAAATTTAAAGGATGAGCAGAAGAAAAGGTGAATGCTGACTTAATATTGAGAGAGCCATTTTGAAGGTGAAATTACTAGGCTGAGAAAGTCTCACAAGGGCATTGGCGGCGGTTTTACTATTTGGGATATTTAAAATTGGCTTCCAATGGCAGGGAGCCAGAAGGCAGGACAGGGTAGCACCTTGTAGACTAACTCATTCAGAGGAGCATTAGCTTTCATAGGCTACAGCTTATTTCATCAGATGCTAAAGGTAGAGAGGGGTTTGATTACGCATTGGAAGAGATTGCAGTAGATGGCACTGAGTAACTATTCCCTGTAATTGTATTACTTTTCTTTTCGCATCTGGGTTTACGTAGTGTATGAAAACAATGGCAATCTAATCCCCTGGCAAATACATATAAACACAACAAGTACAGCAAATGAAGACCTGGGGAGTCTGCTGTGTGATATGCCACCCACTCCCCACAGCACAAAGGCAGCAAGTCCCCCTGAAACAAACCTGCTTAGGGATCTTAAGGAAGAAAGACAGCATGCCTAGTTTCCATAGGAAACTGTAGTGTCTGTGCACTTCTCAGGACAGCGTCTCCATTTCCTTCAGTCTTAAATCAAACATCAGACTAAGAGACCACTGTCTCCCCCTGGGCCCTGGGAGAAAAGGGTTTATCATCCACAGCTATAGCCACTCTTTAGGGGATATTTTAGATGCTGCATACTGTCTGCCAAGCCCTGCGCTCCCTGGTTATTGTATGCATGAGTGTATGGGTGAAAAACAGAGAGAGGGAGGGAGGGAGACTGGTTGTGAAGCAGGGGGAACAAGACAAACTTAGTATGTATGGACAGGGAGAAGGTAGATTAGTGCGTTCCTTACTTGAGCTGGGGAAGCAGAAATACTTGTATTTTGTTTCTTTGTCAATAAAGAAGGGGATAGAGAAAGCTAAGATGCAGTGCAGGTATTGCTTGCATTGCCTTCAAAAACTCATGCACACAGAGCCCTCTCACAGAAATGCATATGTACAGTCTCACCCCCACACGTGCAAACTGTCACACATGCATTTTGTAACTGGCAGTGAGTCCTAGTCCTGACACATTTCCAGATTATTTTTCCATGGGGGCTGGGGGATTCATGGTTTCCCCTCCTCCATGATCTCTGGCTCTGACCACCTCTGTACAGTGGATTCCTCCTCTTGGAATCACTTTGGGAAATGGTGATTTGATTCTATTAACTGGCTGATCCCATTAAAAGGAGACCCGTTTTTTTAAGAACAGATACTCCCTCCTTCCCCACAGCCCCCTGGCCCTGCTCATGCCTCTCACTCCCCACTACAGCCTCCCCCCTGCTGCTGCCCCTTGCCCCCCACCCACAGCCCCCTGAGCCCTCAGCCCTGCCAGAGGGGGCCCCCAGCTGCCAGGGCTACAGGGCCAGGGGCCCGGGTCCACAGCCCCCTGCCCTCAGAAGAAGGCAGCAACTGCTGCAGCGGAGTGGAGCCCAGCTTCCCACCTATTGCTGCCTGCTGCAGGCTTGGGTGTGGGGGGTGAAGCTAGCTCCCCAACATGACACGCACTCCCAGAGGAGGGGGGGGGGCTGCACCCCCCAGATCTGTGCATGAAGTGGGGATGGGGGCAGGCATGGGGAGTGAGGGCAGCAGAGAGGAGTTGTGCCCCTCAAAGGTACAGCTCCTGCAGTCCCATGCCACTCCCCACTGGGGCCCCAGCCCTGCCCAACTCCTTCCCTCCCTTCCTACAGGGGCTCAATTTCCCTCTTCCCCCCACTTACCTGTGGGACCTACTCTCCAGGCTGCCTGTGGCCATGTGCATGTACAGTACATGCACATGGCGCCCCTGGCTAACCCCCCTCCTCCTGCTCCCTCCCAACCCCCTGCCGGCCAGATCTCTGTCAGCCTGCAAAAGGCTCCTCACAAAACTGCAAAATCCCCAAGCTTCTCCAGTAAAATGATTCCAAAACCCCAAAATTGTGATTCTAATTTGAGTGATTTGTACATGTAATAATACACAAATAGTGTTGATTTTCCCATATTGATTCAAATAAGCAGCGGATTCTATTAACCAGCAATTCTATAAAGTGAATCCACTATATAACACTTTTTGGCTTTACACTTTTGCCCAGAAGTGCACATGTACTTCAAAGCCAGTGGCAGCCTTCAGCAAAGAGAGATGGAAGGTGCAAGCAGTGGAAAGCAAGGTGCATAGTTAGTGCGCGCGCGTGTGTGTGCGTGCGTGTGTGTGTGTGTGAATATGAGTAAGGGAGTGCCAGAGAGGGTGTTGCCCATCCTCACTGTGGTGGGGGTGCAGCACTGCTTACCAGGGTAAAGGGTGTATTCAAGATGGTGATCATGATGTCCGCAACAGCCAGGTTGACGATGAAGAGGCTAGTGGCTGAGTGCATCCTCTTGTTCTTGATCACCACGTGGCAGACCAGGATATTTCCAAACAGCGAGATGCAGATGATCACTGAATAGGCCACAATGAGCAGTGCCTTGACTGTCCGGCTCTGGGACTCCCCTTCATATCTGGTGCTGCTGTCAAAATCCCCCATGTCATCCAGGTCCAAATCACCGTGGAAAAATGAAGACTGGTTGGGAAAGCCATAGAAAGCAGAGAAGAAGTTAGTGCCATTGTGATCCTCTGACCTCCAGAAGGGCTTGGAGATGTACTGCAAGGGGAACCAGAAGTGTCTGCCCATGGCTTGGAAGCAGAGGTAAAGTTCTGATGAACAAACCCTCTGGTAAAGACCCGTTTCTCTTGTTGCCTGTGGGGAGCTGAATCCACTGTGATTTTCCCTTTGTCCTCTCCTCCTTTGGACAGCTCAGTTCTGAGGTCGCAGGCAGGGAAAGGGGAACTCTCAGGTTTGCTTTTTCAAAATTCTTCTATCTGCTGCCAACTCAGTGGATGCACTCTCTCTTCATCCTTTGCCAATTTAAGACCTGGGCTTTACTTCCAGGTTTGAGAGGCAGAGGAGGCAGCTGCCATTTTTTTAAAAAAGAATCCCCTTTGTCCTGTGTGCAGGGTCTGACTCAAATGCCCAGCACACTGTTTCTGACTTTAGGAAGGGATCTCACTTAATGTGTCCTTTTTGCATTTCTTTCCACCTCTTCTCCTCGATGACTCGCTCCCTTGACATCCCACATAATCCTTTCATCTGTCAAATCTCTGTTTCCCCACCTGCTCTCCTGGGCTTGGCAGATTCAGGTGACCCAGTGCCAGTCTTTTCACTCCTTTCTCTCCTTCCAAGCATCCCCAAGCTCCACACTGAAAGCTGCTTTGCTCTGTTAGTGAGTGGTCCCTGCTTTCCCTGCTATATCTGCAGCATGCCAGATGACTGCATATACAATAGCCAATAGTTTCTTCTTCTAGTCATTGCCGAGGTGTGTTATAGCTCCAGAAAGAACGGAGGGGAGGGTTTGACAATTGTAAATACTAGCAGAGTTACAAACAACGTGAAGAAATGATACTTCTTTTATAATTTCCCTCTCTCCCTCTGTTCCCCTCACACCACCACGCACAGGAACTACATAGGGCAAAGTATCTTGACTCCAGCATCCTATCCATGCTTCCTTTGCAGAATTCAGAGTCAAAGAGCAGATCCAAAGCTTTCTGCCTGCAGAGAGTCTGCTGATTACTGCCTGACATTGTCCCCGTCCCAGGCTCCCGAGGGGCTGAGCAAAGTGTAAGAAGTGGAGTGGAATCCAGCGGAAGAGATGGCTTGAGGGCAGCTATTAGGAGGAAACAATATTATGATGGGAGGACTGAGCTACACAGTCAGGGGTACAGGGTAAATTGATAACAAACAGATTTCCTGAACCAGACTTGTGGGGCTGAGGACATTTGACACAGGCAGCCTCTGTCCCCTGCACCAGAACCACAAAGACTCCCTGATCCCACTGTTTTGGGGAAGAGCTGAGAAACGAGGCACACTGAGCTCAGGGCAGCAGGGTTTGACTTGAGCAAAACTTTTCACAATTGTTGAAGCATTTTTCCCTCCTGATTTGGGAACCTGCCCACACACACACAATCTCAAGAAATATTTGCAAACCAACAGAAAACCAATTGGCCTGGGTCAATCCAAAGGTTTCCTTTGTATCATTTTGATACACTTCTTTTTCAGTTTTGTTCTTTTATCTTATTTCTGCATTTAGCCTAATTTTCTAAATGAAAACTTGTTTGCAGCCAGAAAGCAGGAATTGTTCTTTTGGAAAATTTCAGCATGCTGCAGTTGAGCAATATTGAACTTTTGCATGCAATTTGTTTAGTGAAAAACTTGCCCAAACCAACTCTCTGCCCCCCAAAACATTTTGTGTTTTGATGAAACCTCTTGGATGGACAAGAAAACCATTTTGTTGAAAAGTTCCCATAGATCTGCAGCCCAGTTCTTCATGCCCTCCAAATCACAGGGATCCCTTCTGAACAAGCAAAGCATAGCCAATGGCTAAGATTTGAGAGGAGGTGAACATCCTTCTGATTCAACAATTTTCTCATTGAAGGGAGAGAGCTGCTAACTTCTACCTTTGGCATCTACAAAGTCCTTCCCTTTGGAGCAAGGAAATGAGAAGGAAACAAAAGAGTGCCTCATCTCCCCAACAAAATACTGTCAAGGCAGCAAGGTTGTTTCATTGTTTTGGACTTGGCAGGATCCACTTTGGCCTTGCGCCCCTTTTGTAGATTCAACACACATGGGCATACATGAATGAGAAGAACTAAACAACAACATCTATTGTAGAGCAGCAGGCAAGCCTCTACAGCAGTGGTCACTAGGGCTGTGCGAAACAGCACCGTTTCGTTTCAACTTCCATTTCACTGTTTTGACGGGACGGTGTTTCGTTTTAAGTTTCATGTTATTTTGAAAGCACTGTTCTGTTTCATTTTGTCAAAACTATTTTGCTGTTTTGATGCTTTTTTGACATTTTGCCCATAGGCTATAATGAGGAAGCATGAACCTGCCTATAACTTTGACATTCTTAGGCATATTTGGATGAAAGCAGCAGGGATGGAAGCACCATCTGTGGGCATGAAGCCTGCCAAGCTTTAAGGGGATAGATGCAGAGGTTTCTGGGAAACTACACCTCAAAATCTTGAAAGCAAAACTCATGTCGCTTGTAAGTGTGAAGGCACAGGGGGGTGAAAACAGAAGGCCTGATGAGGCCACACAGCCTGCCAAATTTCAAGGAGATAGGTGTAGGGGTTTCTGGGAAACTGCACCTCAAGGTGCTGACAAGCAAGGCTTGTGACATATGTGACTGTGTGTGTGTTAAGGTGCACCCTCGCTGATGCTGGGGCCTCTACATGACACAGTAGTGTGCCCCAATGAGGTCTCCTCCTCCCCAACAGCCTCAGCTCAGTCCACCGCTTTAAATGACAACAGGTGTAAAATAACTTAGTGAGCAGCAGCACAGTAGCACCAGCAGCATCTCAGGCAGCCAAACTGTGACAGCCCTTCCCCCAGCCCCAGCCCCAGGGCTCAGATGTGCCCAGGGCCCTGCGTCCTTCCGGTCAGGTGCTAGGGGTGTTGGTCTAAGGACATGGCACTGGCAGACAAGGTTCTTTGGGTCAATCTGGTATCTTTTAGCAGACCAACTGAATAGTTACAGAAATATATCTTAGCAAGTTTTCGGGTTGAAAAACCCTTCATCAGGCTGAGGAAGCACCTGCAGTTGATGTGTGCAGTGGTGTCCCACAGGGGTTGGTGCTTGGTCCAATACTTTTCAACATTTTTACTAATGATTTGGATGTGGGGGTGCAAAACTTACTGGCCAAGTTCACGGATGACACCAAGTTATGGGGAAGCGTGGTCATGCTTGAAAACAAGTTACAGGTACAGGCGGACCTAGACAGGTTGGCAAATTGGGTGGATCAGAACCAAATGAAGTTCAACACTGAGAATTGTAAAATGCTCCACTTCAAGACAAACAACCCCCAACACACCTACAGGCTTGGTGGCCCCAAACTGCCTAGCACCATGAATGAAAGGGACCTGGGGTTAATAATAGATCACAGTATGAATATGAGCCGGCAGTGTGATGCTGTAGCCAGTAGGGTAAATAATACCCTGGCATGCATCAATCAATGCAGCTCCAGCAAATCAAGGAGGTGATTCTTCTGCTCTATGCAGCACTGGTGAGACCGCAGCTGGAGTACTGTGTCCAGTTCTGAGCACCGCACTTTAACAAGGACATAGACAAGCTTGAGAGAGTCCAGAGAAGAGCCACACATATGATCAGAGTCTTACATGGCAAGCCATATGAGGAAAGGCTGAGGGACCTGGGACTCTTCAGCCTGAAGAAAAGAAGTGTGAGAGGGGACCTGGTAGCAGCTTACCACTACACTAGGGGAGTACATCAAGCGCTTGGTGAGCAACTGTTCACCAGGGCACCTGAGGGGAAAACCAGGAGTAATGACCACAAACTCCTGGAAGATCAATTCAGGCTCAACATTAGGAACAACTTCTTCACAGTCAGGGTGTCCAGGCTGTGGAATAAGCTCCCTTTAGAGGTGGTGCAATCACCTACCCTGAAAAGCTTCAAGAGGAGACTGGACAGTCACTTTGCTGGGGTCACCTGACCCCCCGTTATCTTTCCTGCTTGGCGCAGGGGGCCGGACCCAATGGTTTTCTGAGGTCCTTCTGGCCTTACAATCTATGAATCTATGATGGCAGGAGAACTCTCTTGTTTCGACTCCTCCTCTGGAGAGTTTCTCTGTGCCCACACAGCACTGTTATGTGGAAAGGAGAAGATGACAGTATTAAACATGTCCTGGTTCTTTATATTTGCTGTCCTCTGTATAAGCATTGTCTGGCAGTCTAAAACACTTAGCTGCACGATATTGTTAATATTTGTTTTGTTTTTCTCTGTGGTTGGAAGGTTTCTATGTGCAAAAAATCTGTGTCTGGGGGTGGTGAGACCATCACAACTCCAACCCTGGGAGCAGAAATTTTTCTGTTCACCCACTCAGCAGCAAGAGAAGATGAAAAATTACCCACTGGCAGAGCTGCAGCCTTGGTGTGGAGCTGGAAAGATGGAAGATGGCTCAGCTGAGATCCTCTGGACCCCCCAGGTAGCGGGGCCAGGAAATAGGGCCAGTCTTAGCTTCCTCTCAGCACCTTGCTTGGACCATACAAATAGCAGGTGTGGGAGAGAGATTTCTATACTTAGCTCCAGGAGCTTTTGTAGCTACCTGGTGATGTTATGAACACCTTTTTCATATTCATTTCATAGTAAGAGATCAGCCTAGGGACAAAAGGAGGCCCTGGAAGCAGGGAGGGAAGTAGGGCTGGGGATGGATGATGAGGTAGGCTTTGTTATACCATCCTCTCTATTTTATGCTTCCCTCTAATGTTTGCTGCTAGCAACTGCTGCATTGTGACTGTCTGGCTTGTAAGGTTATTGCAGCAGGGCATACATTGGTTTATATGTTAGCACAGAACTTGCACAATGAAATCACCAGTCTTGACTGAGGCCTCTGAGGTCTACTCAATTGCTATTGGTAGTAACACCGCAGAGAAAAATCAGTCCAATCAGAACAACCCACCAATGGTCTGGAAAAAGAGTACAGTACTATCGGCTGACAAATGGTTAGTTTGTATTAACATTCACATTCCTCTCTTAAGATGTTCCCAGCTGAGTTCCAGGGATTTAACTGAGTGATTGTCACATAGAATAAATGATACATAGAATTTCTCCTGTCTTTCTTCCTACCTAGAATATTTCTGAAAAATCATTTTTAAACACACTAGCAACTTGGGATCTGAAAACTGAAGAAAATTTGCAAGACAGTCCAGAACAAATGAATGTTGTTTCTCTCTCCATTCCTCTGTGTTTGAGCTATGTGAAGTTTGGCA